AAGAAACAAAGATGCATCAATCTCTACTAGCCCCTATTCATTTAAGCTTCTGTTTGTGCTCTAACACCTATTTAAGTGTCTTTTATGTTTTCCAAGAATTCTGCTTGGAAGCAAATTGGCTTTGAGCATCTAGCAGTATAATTCAAGACAGATGTCCATTCTTATATGTCAGGGTTCTTCCAGTTGCACGAGGCACCATTTCTCCAAGCTTGGTGGTCGTCCTGCGTGTCCACTTGATACCCCACTGTGAAGACTACTTGGAAATGTGGTCTCAATGACAGCAACCTTACTATCTGGCCAGGAAACCTGTCTGCCAAACACACCAAGGACTCATAAGCTTGTCTTTAAATAAAATTACCATCCATGTCTTTTATTATTTTAAGACCTCAAATCATTAAGAGGGTAGGATTTGACCAAAAAGTGGATTATTTGAAAAGACCAAGAACTGGCCTGATGAGACTCATTCAAACAAAGACTGCACCCAGAAGCCATGAAAAGAGAAGCCATGGAGAAAACTGCGGTTGAACAACCCTGACTGTGGTGGTTTGGATGAGAAATGTGCCATACAGTCTTGGGCATTTGAACACTTGGTCCCCAGTTGGCCATGCTGTGTGTCAAGTTTCAGGAGATCTTTGGCTGGAGCAAGTAGGTCCCTGGGATGGACTTCAGGAGGTCACAGCATTGTCCTGCTTGCAGTTTGTTTTCTCTGCGTTGAGCTTGTGGTTCAAGACGTGAGCACTCAGATTGCTGTTCCAGCCACCATGCCTCTGCTCGATCATCGTGAACTCTCATCTTTCTGACACCATAAGCCAAAATAAACCCTCCCTTCGTTAAGCTGTTTCTACTCATGGTGTTCTATCACAGTAACAGGAAAGTAACTCATACACCAATAATTCAGAAAACATCAATTTATCCCCACCCCCCAAAAAAATGCCTAGGAGATTTCCTAGCTCCGAGAGCCTGCCTTGCTGACTTGGTTTTCCTGACACACAGTAGGATTGGGTTTCACTTGGATCTGGGTTCATTTGGCCTCATTTACTCAAATTAAAGCCCATAACGCCCAGGTCTCAAGAGAGTCCATGTAGTTCCTCAGATCCTACTAATCAATCAGGAGTGTGAGAGCTGATCAGATTTCTTCTAAACTGCTCTGCCACTGCTTCCACGGTGACACTGACAAGGTCACCTGCAGTGTCTGAAGTATTATTAATAATACTTCTCGTTGGGAGCTCATTCAAGACAACTAGAGTCACACGAGTAATAGATGGTATTGAAATGAATTGGGGGCATTACAGCTGCATTGAATATAGTTAGGCCTTACGACAACTTACTTCAGTTGCTCTCCAGGCCTCTCTCCCATCTTTGTTTCTGATCTTATTTATTGCCTCTAGTTTCCTTTTCATTTTGCACACAAGCTCTGCCCCTATGCAGTCCCAATTCCACCAGGTTTGACCTTAACTCCTCATCTAAGTTATCTTAGTATAAAATTCAGAATCATAGGATTTGAAGTGTTCACAGCTGCTCTGGGATTTATGCCTTTTCACCAATATGGGGAAAGAAACGAATTACTATGTGCACTGAATGTTACAGGATCCAAACTGCCCTACACCACCACATGCTCAGCCTGCTTCTCACAGGGGCAGCAGCTGGGACAACAGGTAATTGCTACCCCTAGCTAAGGGGAAGTGGTCACTAGAAGATTCGATACTTTGTGCTTTTTGCTTTCTGAGTTTTGTTTAGCAGCCTCTTTTGGGACTGACTCTTGTTGGTGGGGCTCCCTTTCTCGGAGCAAGGTTTCCCCTGTTGTAAGTAGTGTGGAGAAGAAATTATCCTTTCCTGAAAAGGGGGAAAAATAATGCTTCCTGAAAGAATGTTTGGAAGTCAAGAGAATGTGGGAAACCATTCCATAGATACATATATTTAACATGTGATTAATATGTGATTTCTGTTGTAGGTTAATATTTATTTTATTATCAGTAGTAGTGAGTTACATATTACATAAAATATTGGATACTGTTAACAGAAAACAAACATAATTGGTCCAGAATTTAAAACTTATGAGAAAAGTGCCGGCACAGGACTTAATAAAACCTCTCATTTCTATTCCATTCCACCCCCAAAAAATGACTTCCCAAGTTGTAGAATTAAAAAACAAAACAAAACCAAACTGTATTCCCTGACCTCCTGATGACTTCACGACAGAATATTTGTCAAACATTACCCAGATTACTTGCCTCCTGTGGTGTGTTTCCCAGCATTCCCCTTTAGTTTGTCTATGCTTTTGCCTGTACCTCTTCCTAGACAGGAACTTCAGTGCTCTTAACATATTTATATATTACCAGAGTACAGTGAGACACAATGCTTCAGAGAGGGGAAAGAGGAGGGGAAGTGAGCGAGGAGGAAAAAGACATGTCAAATGAGGGAAGGGATAACTTGTAAGAAGCATGTTTAACTGGCAGTGAGTACCATGGCTACATAGCTTCTCTACTTGATGTATATGATTATTAGGAAACAGTTAATTAAGTATAAAACTCTAAAGATTCTGTGTGTTGTAGTCACCACTCTCTCCTATAAGCTTCCATTTAGTGTCCTGGATATCTCCAGTGGGGAAAGTCAACCCTTTCAGTCCCAGGATGGTTTACTGGGGCTACAGAAAACTCTTCTTTGGTTATCAGTTGCTCTCCTTAGCCACTGGACTTATTTATAGAAAGTGTGTTTAACAGCAGAAGTGGCTTTGAAATAGTTCACCAGAGGGCTTTGTACTAAGAGGACGTTAAATGGATGCTAGACTACATGTAGAATAGAGAGACTCAGTGCTCGAGAGACTTGACACCAAGACTCTGTATCCCAAACCTGCCTAGAGTTCCCTGGCTCTGAGGTTTGGATGCTTGGCTGCTCCAAACTGACCCCTCCACTCCCTGCTTTCTGGCACCCACACGTTTAATGGAAAAGAAGCCCTCCATTGTTGTTCTTTTCTCTAGTCAGTTTCCTGTAGGATTTTAAGATGAACTTCCTTGCCTTGCCTCATTTTGAGCCATGCAATGCCTCTCTGTAAACCCCCAGGATGACAGTAAGATGCAGTTTGGTTGTCTTTCACATGGGCTGTTCCTCTCTGTTTCCTAGTCAGAGGGCTGATATCACAGGACTGGGTGCTTACTTCTTTGCTATTTCCTCTTTTTGCTTTATTCCCTTCTCCTCGTGTCCCATTAGCTTCCAAATCTGCTAAATTCCCAGGAAGTGAAGGAAATGCCTGTTAAGGGGTACAGTTTCAGGAGTGAAAGTCATTCCTCCAAATTAACTAGCCACTTAAGCAATAATTAAACCACCACCTGTGTGATGGCATAGCTTGGCAAAACCCTAGAAAGGAGTGCTTATTAGTTTATTAATTGATTTGTTAATGGATAACCACTGATGTTAGGGAAATAATCTAATCTTGTTGGAATGGATTTTATACAAAGACCGCATCAGTCAAGTGCAGTTCATAGATGGGATAAAAGAAAAGCTTTTTTCCATTAAGTTCACCTCCTGCGTTTGAAATGAAAACTTGCTTAAAGTTCAATTTATACAGTAAAGAGTAGTGGTGCTTGGAGTAGGAGAAAAGAGAATAAAATATTTCCATACATTTGAGTCTGCCTTTCAAAAGGTGTCCTTTATATAGAAGAAAGTGTGTGTGTGTGTGTGTGTGTGTGTGTGTCTGTCTGTCTGTCTGTCTGTCTGTTTACATGAACAACCCTGTTCTAACAGACACACATGAGACACAGCCTCCTCAGTTTCTTTTGAACTGAAGGTCTCTTTTTGCTGATTTGATTTAAATATCAATCTGATACTCAACCCAGAACTATACCAAAGTCAGACAGAAGCCCAGATTATGGGTCAGTTCCGAGGCTAATCCCAGGCTTCCTTCAAGAACGAGAAGCCAATCCTCCTGTCCATTGACCACAATTTAGTCCCAACACTTCCCTACATCCCAGACCCACTTTCAGCTACTGGCTGTGCTCTCTGGAAGAGTGAGACACAAGCACTACAGGCTCACACACTAAGTTTCAGACTTTCTCACGCAATTTGCTCAAGGGAAACTGGAGAGCAGGAGGAGGGGGGAGGATTGCTAAATAAGTGCTACACATTCTTTTCCGCCAAAGGTCATCCCACTTTTTCTAATTTCTCAGATGTAAAAGAATGTATTTTCTTCTCGTTACCATAGAAACTGCTACTAACACAGAGAGTTCTTTCCTCCAAAAGTTTCTAGGTCAATTTTAATACATTTGGCTTCTCTTTTGGTGCCAGAATACTTAACTCCCATCTATTGCCTTATATGTTAGAAGAATACATATGTGTATATATTGCTTTAAATTTTAAAATTACATAGAGATATGGCAGCTATATGGATAGATAACAAGGCTGATGACTGCAGAAGCATGCCTTCCTGCCTTCTTTTGCTTCCTTCCTGCCCACCTCACCCTCCACTATGAGCCTAGCCACTCACACAGCGTGTAAGCATGGCCACTTGAGGTCTCCAAAACAGGAGCCGTGTGGGTGAGTTTGTAACATCTAGTTACAAACTAATTCTTTGGGTATTTTCAGACATTTGGAGATTTCAACTAATACGAATACAATATTTAAAGTCAAAAAATGTTTTTCATTATTCAATAAACAGTTCACTCAAATTTTTTGGGTGCTTAGCATTTCTAATTGAGAGAGTCAAAGGCTAACTTGGAGGTGTGAGAGCTGAATTTAAATGAATTCTCTTCAGATTGATTTTGCAAAGCATACTCTGTTCACTGTATCTCTTTTTAGAATGTCCAGCTAACACAAAGGTACTCTAAGAGGGAGATCTCAGTATGGTAAATAATGGACTTGCTTAAAAGCCAAGTGATGGCAGTCTTGTGGACAGCTTCCTACTTTTCACTAACTGAATTCAGAAATCATTAGAGGATGAGAATTAAAACAATAAAGAAAACCAGCCAAATCCCCCTGAAAGGGGACCCTTGCTTCTGTTTTTCTATTCATCCCAGTTAAAGAACAATCTATCACCTATTCTTTTCCCAGACTGTTTTTATGTTAAACAGGATTTTTTTCCTGTGACTCAGGTGGGCAGAAACTTGGTAGACAGACCTTCATTACAAAGCAGTCAGAAATAAGAAATGGGAGTGAAGGCCCTAAATGGACAATAGAGCCACACCCAAGTCAACACGAGCAAAAGAGTCAGCAACACAGTCTAGGGTCGCCTTTGGGTATCTTGGAGCAAAGCTTCTGTGAGGAAATGTGAGGTACTAGGGGGATGCTGTGTTCCTATAGAGGGTGTAACTCAACTGAAGGTTGATGGTTTGAAGCCGGATCAGATTACTACTTGATTAACTCCTTATAAAACTCAGAGCGCACAAAGCGGGGCAGCGAATCCTTCTCCATCAGGGCATGGATTCTTTTCTGGGCTAGGTCAAAACTTCTCGGGGAAGGGTCCACCAGGTTCTTCATGGTGATGCCTTTAGTGAAATGATCGATGTTCACCTGTGGGCCAAGAAACAGGGTCACTGAGTCAGCTTAGGCCTCAGGATTTGATGAGGATGCCAGAGTGGCAGAATTCTCACCATCGAGAGGCAAGGTAGAAGGGATATCATGCAAAGTAAGAAAGACCACTGCTGTTTCAGAAGCAGTGGGGCGAGGCAACTGACGCTGTAGTGAACACGTGACTTAGATTCAGAGTCACTGGGCATAATTAGCGTATGTTATTTCATCATTCAATGGCCTAAGAATATATACACACATTAAGTGGCTCAAGATCATCTCTCTGTTAAGTGTTTTAATCAGATGGATTTGAATACAGGTAAACTAATGCTTGATTTCACAGACTTTCTACCCATTAGATTTCCTCCCTTCTGATGACAGTGGAGAACAATTGGTGGCCAGGGACCCTTGGCATAGCTTTAGAACCAGTCTTTGTCGAAAACAAACCAGGAAGCAGCAATTTAGCCATAAAACAAACAGTGATGAACCAGTGCTTGATCTACTGTGTTGTTAGTCTGTACCAGGAGATTGAATCTGGGACCTGTCGCATGCTAACAAAGCACACTGCGATAGCACTGAATCTCCACACCCACATCTGCTTCTTGGAAGGACCAGCTAAGGATGCAACACAGCCACAGGAGTAAATATCTCACACTGCCTCCATAAGATTTATCAGATACACAAAAGAAAACAGGTGAGAGGACTCTTTCCCTTTACAAATCATCTGTAACAGACTACTCAAAGGACTCACTCAGTCGACACGCTTTCCTTCAAACCTTGCTGAGAATTCAACATGCACATTGGAGTCAAGAGAACCATTTGGGACTACAGGAACTGACCAGATAGACAGGTCTGGCTGTGGCCACCAAGGATTTTTCAACAAGCTTTCCAGTTTGGTTTCATTGATGGCAAAGATAAGCACAGACAGACTTCCCCAAAGCTTTCTTGAAACCTGAATATATCTGGTCTTCTGCAGTCGATTAGTGGCGTATTTGTTGGCTTCAAATACCTTTTGTGCCGGGCATTGGTGGCTCACGCCTTTAATACCAGCACTCGGGAGGCAGAGGCAGGCAGATCTCTGTGAGTTCGAGGCCAGCCTGGTCTCCAGAGTGAGTGCCAGGATAGGCTCCAAAACTACATAGAGAAACCCTGTCTCGAAAAACGAAAAAAAAAAAATACCTTTTGCACTGTTACCTTGTATTAAAAAAAAAATACCTTTTGCACTGTTACCTTGTATTAAAAAAAAAATACCTTTTGCACTGTTACCTTGTATTAAAAAAAAAATACCTTTTGCACTGTTACCTTGTATTAAAAAAAAAATACCTTTTGCACTGTTACCTTGTATAAAAAAAAAAATACCTTTTGCACTGTTACCTTGTATTAAAAAAAAAAATACCTTTTGCACTGTTACCTTGTATTATTTTGGTTCCGGTGAATGGAAGTTCTGTTGCCCCCCACAAAGGACAAATGTCAAAGGCTAGAGACTGGATTCACAGGCATCAATTAGTTGGCACATTCATGTGTTTTTTTCACATCTACTGTTTGTTTAATTCTCATAACTTTACATTTCAAAGGGATGAAACTAGATTCTACATTTCATCCCAAATCTAACATTGGCTTCCTTCTTACTTAAGGTTGGTTGCATGGTACTGAAGAGAGGCTCCAATAGGCATCAGTTACATAGTGATCTGTATAGCATTTAAGTCAAATGTGCTTGACCCTATCACACTGACCTTGTATTCAGTAGGTGCTTACTGGTACTTACAAGTGCAGTACTGTACTTACAAGTACAGTAGCTTTTAGCTCCAAATGTTGTGCCTGGGAAGCGTGCTGATCTGGCTCTTAGGTGGATGCACTCAGCTACCTGCCCCCCAGTACCAACCTCTTTAGGAGCCTCAGTCTGGATGAATTCTTCATAAATTTGCTTTGCCTTCTCCGCCATTTTGACTGGGGACTTGATCTTCTTGTAATCCTCACAGGCAACCCAGAACTCAAGGTTTTCCTCACTGAATTCAGACTTCAGGAAGCTTTTGAAGGTGGCACGCCCATCTAGGAAGTAAAAAGTATGCAGGGGGATTTCATTCATTGATTTGCCAAACTATGGCTAAATAACTCCATTTTGCTTCTAGTGCATTCCGCTATTGATTTAAAAATCTTCCAAATGGAAACGCACTTAATTCTCACCATATACCCAAAGAGCAGGAGCTGTAAGTGTCCTCTTTTGTAAATAAGGTCACAGAAGGCAAGTGACTGCTCCAAAATGTCCAGCCACTAAGTGCAGGGCTGGGACTTGAAGCCAGGCTATCTGATTCTGCAATTTCTCACGCAAGTGCCCATTATCCCAAGCCACTTTCTCAAGAGAAGCGTGATTCTGTTTCTTGGAAAAGGAACACTCCATTAGGAGTCCTAGTCCCTCCTGCACTTGAACTGAGAGAACAAAGATGCTAGAGATGATATGGAAAGATTCGACCACGCTGTCCATGCGTGCATGGACTCTTAGTTCATCCTCATCTGCCTTTATCCCTTCATTCAAATGGAGGCAGGCTGGGACTGAGATGCAGAGGCAACAGAGAACAGCTCTGCTTATCATCCACTCAGACAGTGAAGCAAGGGCTTCACCTCACTACCTTTTCCACAAGTGAATGCAGTATACATTCAGGTGACAAATGTTTATGACACCGAGGAGTCTCATCAATACTGATGACATTCAGGATACACATCAATTCCAAAGAAAAATTTTAGTTTTAGTAGTGAAAACTGAATTAAGAGCCTCATGGATACTACACGAGCTCTACCACAAAACTATATTCATGGATACTACACAAGCTCTACCATAAAACTATATTCCTAGCCCCAAAGAACATCTTGATTTGTTAAAAAAAAATAAGTAATATTTACGATGACTTTCAGGAACTATTATCATGTTTCCTCTTTTTACAGCTGAATTTTGAGTGAGGGCAATATATCACTTTGGTAAATAAAATACGCTTAGTTCTCTATCAGAGCTCAGAGATTCCAAGGAAAGTAGAAAGAAAAAAAATGAAGAGACTCATTGAACATCTATACAATAAAAACTGTTGAAGAGCAGAAACGGAGTCACATCAGGAGCCTAAGTTCAGTTCAGACTCAGGGGAGGTGAACAAAGGGACAGTTATTGTGTCCACCAGTTAATTTTAAGTCAGTGTTTAGATGACACCAAATGTAATAGAACAACAGTGAGTCTGTGAACAGTTGTGGCTGCTATTTGTGCACATATGATAATTCCTGGGCCCTATCCTTGCCTGCTTCCTTCCCTCCCTTCTAGTGCAAGCCTCCCAAATGGTAGATGGAGAGAGCTTAACAAGATGACTTAACAAAGTATAGGAGATAAATAAAGAAAAAGATATCCAAATGTAGGCTGTTCCCTTCATCTTGAAATAAGGAATGTGCATGTGTACACATGTGTCTATACATTAAACTATTTAAACCAAGATCCTAACTGTATCTATAAGCATTGAATTATGTTATTATGAAGGAAAATGAAGGAAGGAGAGGAAGCAACTTGCTCCAGAGATCCCCTGGCTCTGCCTTCTGAGTTTGGAATCACCGCTGGGTCATCACTCCCACTTGGTAGCTAGTTACATGGATTCTGGGGATCCAAATTCTGATCCTTTACATGACAAGGCAGCACTTAACTGCTGAGCAATCTTCTCAGTACATTTTTATCCCTCCCATGCTGTTGTTCATGGTCCTTCTCTGCAGCCACACTCAATTTGAAAGGAAAAGAATGGCCAGGCTGAAAATGAACTGGGATTAGGTTCAGTAGTGATTTCAGGACCCAAGAAAGACACTTGGCGATTTAATCCTTCCTCTGTCCTTCTAGGACACTATCATCGAACAATGCTAGGAACATCTGGGAACATGAGTAGACATGAACAACTATTCTTGTCTTTTCAACAGTTTTCTCTACCCATGTTTCTTCTTCTTACCCCCACTGTAGTTTCTACTGTGTTACTAATCATAATTTAGTGCTAACTGAAATTCAACATGAGCTATGCAATCAGCATATCCCTCCACGGGATCAAAGAACATGAACTTTAAAGGAAAGTAAATACCCCAATTTTGTTACTGCTACAGTATTGTGTGTCATAGGCAAGCTATCTAGCTCTCAAAATAATGGATTCTTTTCCCTGAAAAATAGAAATTGTTGTTGCACTTAAGAAATAAGAAAGAAATAAGACCCAGTTTTATCGTTGTCATGGCTAAACTTGTCTTTGATTTTTTAACAGATGTGTTGGATGCTCTCTATTGCAATGGAAAAAGTCTCAAGTCACCTTTTAGCTACCAGGAAATGGGGTCATATAAGCATCCATATAACCAGATCTCAGACTGCAGAGGACAAAGTATTTTCATGGAATGTGCTTGTGGCAACCTCTCAGTTCCACAGCCCCACAACCCTGCAACCCCACAGTCCTGCAACCCTGCAACCCCACAGGCCTGCAGCCCTGCAGCCCCACAGCCCCACAGCCTCATACATCATCAGACACTTGGAGTCACCCATTCTACTTCTATGTAAAATTTTGAGATCAATCCTTCCAAACTTTGTTATTTCAGACCTGAGGATTCATGTGATCTTAGCACTCAGTTCACAGCAGGAAATGAACTTGTGAACCAGCTTTCCATCTCAGAGACCCAGGGATACTGGTTCCATGTCTCTGGTGAATTCCACAATACTATTGCAAGGCTTTTTGTCAATGCATGCAATTTAAACCGAAACATATAAAACAGCATTATGCCCTACTTGTCTGGGAGCCATTTAAAGCTACTCTTTTCTCCCATCTAGCTTTTGAGCATCTAGGGATTCTCTTAGTAGACTCCTCCACAGTCACATCTAATCAACTTTACACACACTGTTTTTTTATTGGTCCTTTCCTTAGAGACTTTTTCTGTTGAATTCTCATCCACTCTGCATGTATCTTTTTTGAGTCAGAGTTGAAAAGATTCTAGGCCAAATATCTCTGTTCTACAAGGTACGCATATCTTTCTCACCCCACTTTTTTTTACCTGGGGACTTCATACTGTGGAACTCCAGCACACAACCTGAGAAAGCACTATGTTGCCTGTACGAGTCAGCACAGAGCCTCAAATTACCACTCAGCATACCCAGGCATCCCACTATTCAGGACTCTGATGCAATCCATCTGACGACTGGCCATAAGCATTCTGTGGGTTTGGTACCCATACATCATATGGCAGCCATACATTATAATCTCAGAGCTGGCCCTAATGAGTGATAACAATTTTTGACATTAGGCAAATCAAAGTAGCAGCTTTATATAAGGGGGAGGGGGACCACCTATAAAACCCCTTGAAGAATAAAAGGAACAGTAAATAAATCCTAGAATCTAAGCCAGATGGTTATAAACTATTGAAAACAAGAAGAGTACAAATAGTTCAGAGAAGATGGATTGGGGGAGGACACTGGAAGAGCATTGGTAATTTATAAAAAACATGGCATGATTTATAGGTTCAAAGCTTAGACTTTCAGACCCAAGATTGCTTAGTGGTGTCTTGACATACTTCATTAAGAAATAACACAGACAAGTCATTTAGCCAATTGGAACCTCTGTTGCTTTGTATGTTAAATGCAAATACTGATGAAACCTGCATGACAGGGCTGTGGCAAGGGACTAAATAATTCACACATGGCCTTTATATGCTGCCAAGCGTAATTTTCATGAAGTTCAGTACACATTGGATGTCTTCATCATTATTTATACCAAATTAGAAGTTACTATTTGTCACCTATATGTTGCCTCATCTGTGACATCATCTTTTTCCCACTGCCACCTGCTCACTCTTGAGGACTTTGTCAATGGAGGGGAGACATCACTTTCCTTTTTCTTCTCCCCCACAGCAAGTGCTGCTATCTGCTTGTTCAGCCATCTTTTCCATGAGATTGTTAATTATCTGAGTGTTCCTTATCTTCACTTCCCCTTTCCTACCTCCCTCCTCAATATATGCCCCTAATACTTAATAGTGGGTCTCAGTGAACTATGAAATCACCATATCTCTCCAACCCACAAGACCAAAGAGCATGAACTTAAAGGGAAAAGAAATAACCCAGTTTTGTTACTGTTACAGTATTGTGTGTCATAGCTACCTAGCTCTCTGAATAATGGATTCTTTTTCTGAAAAATAGAAATGGTTGCTGTACTTAAGTATCAAGATTATTGCAATCACTAAATAGAACAGTATATGCAAATTATTTCTTACTATATATATGTGTGTGTGTGAACAAGTCATACATGAAAATGAAAATATCTTTCATATTATTTTTCTTATTATCATTGTCATAAGTGAAAATGTGGCTGTCCATCAGTGAGGTAATGAGAATGATGAATCAGGACTCAGAATGAAGAAAACTGGAAGCAAAGAAGCCAAGACAGGCTGTGAAGATGAGAACCAAAGGATGAGCCTGAAGCCAGCTGCATTGTGCCCTGAGGGACAGTCCAGCCCATGGGGGTGTCTGAGGAAATGCTCTGACCTTTTACAACTCTTGGGAAAAGAGGACCCAAATAAAATGTGTGCTGCCATAGACTGGCTTTATCCCTGTTTGCTCTCAAAAATGCTCTTGTGGGAGAATCAGTGTCCCTGACGGTGCTAGGGTAGAATTATATAAGCTCCCATGTGCAATCTATTTTTGTTTTTAAAGATCAGCATACTTGTTATGTGCCCTATAGACCTGACAAATGAAAACAGATGTCTCCTGTTTTAGAATTGAAGGCAAAATTTATAAGAATGCGATGTAGTTTAAGAACAAAGCCAAAGACCTCAAATGATTAAAAATCATTTTTAGGTCCAGTGAGAAGGCTAGCTGGTGAAAGCATTGGCTGTGTCAACCTGATGAGTTGTGTTCCAGAAACCTCAGTGAAAAGAGAGAGCTAACGCCTGAAAGGTGCCCTCAGGTCTCCCCACACATGTGCACACATGCATGTGCACACACGCACACACACACACACACACACACACACACACACACACACACACACACACACACACTACCCTCATGCACGCATTACTAACACATAAAATACTTTAAAAATGAATTTGAGTACGTAGATCCTTGCTAATGAGAAAAGATTGAACAACAGCTTGTCTAGAGTTTATTTCTACCACAGAAAATTTTGATTTAATGAATGCATGGGTAATTCCATCAACTCTGAAAGGCAATGGCCTATATTAACACAAAGAATTCCAAATGTTCATTATGAATCAGCAAAAATGCTACCCCTAACCCTTTCAGTGTGTGTGTGTGTGTGTGTGTGTGTGTTTGGTTTTGCTATTTTTTTTTTAAGGCAAAATCTTATTCTGTAGTTCAGATGGGTCCAGATCTTACCATGTGTCCAAAGCTAGCCTTAAAACACACAGAAATTCTATTGTCTCAGATGCCCAACTGCTTGAATTACAGGTATAAGCCACCATGTCCAACTTTAAAGGTTTAAATTTCTCAAGTCAAGCATGCAGAAAGGGATCATTATGTTTTCAGTAGTACATTTTTCAAGTATCTGCCTTTCTTACTTGTTTTACATCAATAACAGCTAATACCAGCTATTTCTGAATATGGATTCTTAGCTTCAGCAGATTCAAAAAATTATATGTTGTAAGAGGCATTGAACAGCCATAGCTTGATTTGCAGTTATCCGTGAAGCATAGTGGCAGATATGCAGGTAACAGGCCATGTATTGCTTTTCTAGGATGCGGCTGCTGAAATGTCTAGATGCTGGCATAGAACTGTTTGGGAATACCTGTACTTCTATGTTTCCTCCTCAGGAATGACTGGAGATTAAAAGAGCAGAGACAGAACAGAAAGAAAGACATGGAGAAAGAGGAGTCACAGAAAGAATTAGAAAGAAGAGACAGTGAAAGAAATATAATGGAGAAGTGATGGACAGACAGTAATTACAGGCAGGCTATCTTATCTGTTGGGTCTTTCATACCCATAACTTAAGCCCTTTATTGGGAGCTAGTTTGAATGGAGAGGTATCACGTTTAAGGAAGGTGTTGTCTAAAATAGTTACTGAATGCTTTTCCATATATGCTTGGAAGAAATTATACATATATATGAGCAAATGCATAGATACAAGCATAATTTCTTCTCTGAGAAGTAGAAAACATTACTGTGAAATCCTCAGATCTCAAATTCATATCAAGACATTCATCTCTTTGTAATTGTAAAGACTTTGGCTCCTCAACAATGTTAAGGGGTTAATGTTACCTACTTCTGGATTAGCTCCCACCCTAGATTTTTTTTTTGTTTTAGTAGCCCCTTGTCCCCTTAAAATCAAAATGTGTGAGTGAAATTGCAAATGGACACATTGATATTTATCTTCCCCCTTAAGAATTCTGAAAACAGTTCTTCTAACTTTTGTTTTTTTATAACAGCAGTGAATATACCTATCTAGGCTACTTAACATTCATAATTTATCAGCTCACCATGTCAAAATTCGATTGGCCCCAAAATTACTAGAGTAAGATGAATCGGTAAATAAATACAAAAATTTTTGTTCTACATGGCTGTTCTACATTCATGAAGTTTATAGGTCCCAAGAAACAAACTCAACTAACTTGCTCATTCATTCAAAAAAAAAAAATGAACACCACCTTGTATGTGTCAGGCCATGATGAAGGAAGGTGCTTTGTGTCTGCTCCCAGTTTGACCCTGATGAGAATCATATGGACTTACAGTTGTTGTGGAGAAGTTTGTCCAGGGAATGGCGCCACTGCAGGGCCTCATCCAGCGAGGGCCTAAATCAATGATAAGGACAGAGAAGGGTGACGGTGTAAGAAGGAATTTAACCACAGGCATGACAATGACTGTACTTTGTCATAACCACCAATTGTCTTCTCCCATCAGAATGTACCAAGGTGAGCTGCTGTTGTCTGAGGGAAAACAGCGGACTTTGTCTTCCTGAGTTCACAGTGCTTGTACCCTTGACTCACTATATTTGGTCTTTATCATCCAATTAAAGCAGACTGGCAAAACATTCATAATGAGATGAAGTTGATGAAGTGTTTCTTCCCCAAGGTCTTAGATTGTTTAGTGACTGTTCAGGACAATCCAGAAGCATTCATGTTTCTGGTTTTTGTGAAATAATACCTTTGGGAATTTAAATCATTGACATTAGCAACTGATTTCAGTGAGACAATTTTCAATCTGTGTTTTCTTTCCCAGGCATATGCATCCTCATTTTTATCTCTATAAGGAATCTGAGACCGGCCCAGTGTTGTTGTGACCACCCCCTAACCTCTCTTTGTAGGGCATGTGTGAATGAAGTCCTGATTTTATCTTAGTTTTTTAAATGTGTCTTCTCTCTTTTAAAGACAAGCAATAAAACCAGGGAAAATAAATCTTGTGAAATAAACTTAGATGGGTTCTGCTTTCCTTACTGGACACATAAATAGCAGACCAAAAGCACAAAATTTCTCACAAATGTATTTCTAACAATTGGACTACCATCCCTTTCCCCTTGGTTACTACATACAAAGCAGCAGAAAAGAGGAGAAATGGCATCAACAGGCCTTACAAATATGCACCCATATCTTTTCCATTCATTTCAATGGTAACCACAGTTACGGTCAATAACACCCTTTGGCTACTCTATGTTGCTTAATACCAAACACCTATATTATAGACAGAATTTTTTATATTATATTATATATAGGAATAACATGTATATCCTTCTGTATATACATGTTCACAATGTGTTCAGTACTTTACACATAGCAGACAACTGTCAAGTCCAGATGTTCTCAGGACCAAGAGCCCATTATACAACTAACTCAGAGCAAAGGGTAGGCCTGGTTCACTCTCTGAGCCTCCTGATTTTATAAATATTCTCATAAAATGAAATAGCTTTTACGGCCCTTGTTCTTTGGTTAGCATTAAAGCACACAGGAAGAGACAATGCCATGAGCAGGTGCCCTGGACTTAAACATGTTACCAGATGCAATTTGTCCCAAATGGTCTCATTATAAAGCCAGTAATGGTCAATAGCAGCAGCACATCACAGCCAAGATTAAATTCCTGAAAGGGACATGTGCCCAGCCTGCTTGGGGGTGAAATTAGTCCAAATTGATTTGAGGGCGTAGTTGAGCAGGACAGATCCCCCCACGGCATGTAGCCCAGTGTTCTGATTACCAGTCTAGGAGGTAACAGGTTCATCCTGTCCTGATTCTCAGAATTTGCCAGGCCTCATTAAGGGTGACTTCTTTGGAAACAAGATAGATGCAGATCTAAATGGCCAATGAGCATCCTGGTCAGCAAGGCCATTGCTGACCACGGAGGGTGAGCACAGAGTCCCCTCTCCCTGTGTGGGTGTGAGTGACAGGGAGGAAGCTAGCTCAGATGAAAGACAAGGTAAACATTTATAGAAGTGATTGACTATGTGTTTTATAATGCCCAGTGCAAACACCACCTGATTCAGGAAGTGACCACATCGGTTTGGAAATGACAGCTTTTTTCCATTTTAGCTGTGTTTCACTTTCTGGATAGTTCATAGGCTAGTAGCACACACAACCTCGGCAAATGTCGTGTACCATTCCTAGAGAACTTTCCTATTTTTCCTATGCCCACAGCATCAGTCTGAAGTAATAAGTGAGGTTGGCTGCAAAGACCAAAGATATGTGTTCAATTTGGGGCCTGAATGTGGACATCAAACTGTGGCAAGTGACTCACCTATAGTTTCCATCTGTTGGCCATTGGATAAAGACTCAGTCCATGTTCATGGACTTGACGGTTCATGAGCAAAATAAACTGTGTAGGAATCTTTTAATAAACAGGTGCCAAATTGATAGGTTACCAAAGTCTGGCTTAGTTTACCCAGAGTCAGCCTTGTTGAAAGCCACAGATGACTCACTGTTTAGATTTGAATGAACAGAGCCGTAAGTCATTGCTACACCTGCTGGCAATACTGGCCAATATTAGCCCTGGAGAAGAATTTAACTCAGGAGCACCAATGGTTGGATTTTGTAGGTGTGGTTTCCTCTTGGTTTTGGTTATCTACACAGTGTCTCGTAAATACTCGATTATCCTTAATCATGTCTTCCCATGCCCTTGTTTTTGACAAAGAAAACAAACCTTGAGTTCATTGATGTCATTTATGAGAGCCTGCTATGCTCTTCCTCCCTGTTCTCTAGAGCACACACAGGCTCAAGTCCATGCCTATTTACTGAGCCCTTACCCTATGGCCAATGGTACTCTTGGCATAATGAATAAGTTACATACTTCTGAAATTCCTGTTCTTTATATCTATAAAATTGTACTTATTTCCTTTCAAGGCTCACTCTGCAGTTAACCAGGTTAACTTTTCAGGAACACACAGGATCATGGGCTGTGACTTTTGTCATAAGCCAGGGTTCTTCGGACTAGTTAACTTGTGGAGGCAATACTGGGATTTTAAAGTGGTCAACACATTAAGATCAATGCATTCAGTTAAAAATTGATAAAAGATGTCAAGGAGGGACATTTAGAATATAAAAACCTACTTGAAAGAGCGTCTGTCCCTGACATTTTGTAATTCAGCATATTACAAGCCATAATGTTATTACAAACTCAATGTATGTGGCTTACAAGTTCTGGTTATTCTTCATTCTGAGGACCTGCAGCAGAGCTTTTGGGAATTCAGAGGGTGGGAAGAGCAGGAATGGGAGAGGGAGGACACAGGACCAAAAGAGTTCTGATAGAGAGGAAGCCATGGCAAAACAAGTCAACTCTGCAGAGAGTTCAAACACCCAGGAGCAATACCTTCAAAAGGAATGGAAGACTTACAGAGCGGATGAAAGTCTGCAAGCCTCAGCCAATGAAAGCAAAGAGAAAGAAAGGCACAGGACCAAAAGGATGAGAGAGAGATTTATTTCTAGCATGAATAATACTTGTTTTCTCCTAATGGAAGAAGACCCAGGACCAATTTTTGAACATTAAAATGATAAGAGAAGCTGGGGTTTGGTATAAGACTAAGAAAAGCTTATTTTCTGCTCTTTTCCAGGGACTCATTTTTTTTAAATCAGAAGAGAAGTTAAAATATATTAAAAAATAGAAAGTACTTCCTCCAAGCAATTGCCCAAAGAAAATGAGAGAAGCTAAAAATACATACCTTCCATCAAGAGATTTATTTATTTTCCTCAGAAAATGTGGGTTTAAAAAAACACAGAGAAATATGTAAGTGAAGAAATGAGTTTGGCTGAGCTCATGAAGAGCAAGGTCATTCCCTGAAGGTAAAAGCACAGAAATTTACCCAATGTAAAGAGGTAAAAATAGAGCATGCGTGTTTGCAAGGAGCACTTGTTCATTTTGAGGGTTGAAAGCAGCAGTCACACACAGTATTCCCTGGGGATGGGAAGGGTTGTTCTTTTTCTCAAAAACAAATATTTTTGTAGAAGGGAGGGAATGGAAGACAAGGAGAGTAAATATGACAATAAATACCATCCCCGAGTTTTCTCCAACCATTTCTCCCTTGAATACCTAAGAGCCAAGTAGTTCAAGCGTCTGTGTGGCATTCTAGAGATGAGATGGAAAGCAGGAAATAGAGAGCTACATGTGAAATGTTAATCCCAACAGATCAATAATTACCCCATTGGTTGCTGCAAAATAGACCTTTTGACCTGCTGGCTATGCAAGGTGGTTCTTGCTGCCCACTAGTCCAGGAAGCCTGCTGCTTCACATGGAATTAGTTTCTCCTTTTTAAATGTAGAAAATTCAATTATGCCTCACTTCCGGTTTGTGAACACTTTGAAGTAATAAAAGGAGGAAAATGGAAATATCCACTTAGGATGATGGAAAATGACTTTAAAACAGAATAACCCAGTTCTGTATCTCCCAGCCAATCAACTATATTAAATTGAAGGTCATTTGGACAAAGGATGAGTTGGCCAATTTATACAAATATTAAATTAAAAAAGAGAAGTGGAAGTTAAAAGGGACGCCTGTACTTTCCCCACACATCTATGATCTTGAAGCTTTTAGGTAGCAGAATGAAGGAGTTGGCATCCTTTTGACTGTCTGGCGTCCCTTCATCATTTCCATGGGTACCTCTGCTATAAAGGGAAAATTGAGTGCATCTGTCTAGACAGTAAGGGTCTAGGGAGCTAATGAAAGATGATGGACAGGGGTGATGGTATGGATGGTGTTACTGAGTCAAAGTAGGTGGATTCATGGGTATAGCCTCTTGACTTTTTGTAATCATACCTTCCTGCCATGACTACACTGATGGAAGGGTCGGGGTGGGGACGATGTACACAGCTGAAATTGAGAGACAGAGGACTGTAAAATCCCTATCAGAAACATGATTTTTATGAGTGGGAAAAGAATGCTTGGTGTGCATTAAGTGGGAACAGCTAGGCAAGTGTTCACCCCTCCCTGAAGTTGCAGCTTTTCTGTTGGACCTTGAAGAGAACCTTGTATATTCAAGAAGAAGCCATCGAGTCCTAGTGTCTGTCTTTTCGTCAGCATGATGTTGCTCACATCTCCCTCTCAAGGAAAAGGCCTTGGCTATTACTTCCTGGTGAGTGTGCAGGACTCATAATTAATTGGATCAGGGTTACTTGACCCAAGCCAATAAATTATCAGATGTTTTGACCTTACAGTCAATAACTGAGTGGCTAGTGCCATTTTATAAAATACAATTCATCTTTCCAAAGAAGAGGCAAGGCTCTGTTTCTTTTAATTCTGCAAGTATTTAATGTTTAATTTAATATATATGGTCTATATATACACAAAGTGTTAAAAATTCACTATTTATGAACCGACTCTCTGGGGACTCAAATGATCTTCAGTGAGCAGTTGAGAGGTTTGTCCTACAGATGAATGACAGTGCTATACACTTGAAAAACAACAATCGTCTGAAGGAAAATGTGAGGAATCCATATTCATGACTCACTTGTGAGACTTGGCTGGCTTCTCCGGCTTCTCATTATATGGAATGACAAGGTCAACAGCAGAGTCTGGCTTCTGGAGAAGAATTCCCAACTTGATCTTGATCTCCTTGGCCCTGAAAGGATAGATGTCAGGGAACAAGAATGACATATGAGCACACAAATCTAAAACAGTGATTGCTTTCTGCATCAGAGAAAGAAAAATGGAAAGAACCTCATTTGCTTCTTTTATTCCTGTTGCAATAAAAGGAACTTCAAGGTAGAACGTAGGACACCCGAGTTCCAACAATAGTGTTTGGAAGACACCAATTAATTTGCACTATGTCCAATCTTAATTGTTCTAGTCATATTTTCTAATTTCCATATGGTAGGTAATATAGTCTTGTTCCCATTCTACAGAGGAGAAAACTGAATGACAGGAAGTTTAAATATCTCAATACAGCCCAGTCAAGTATATGGTGAAACCCAAGCAGTCTGTCTCTAGAATTCTCAAGTGAATTACTAACTGAACTGTCTAGCTGTCTCCTGAAGGCTCTGGCTTTAACCTTCAACTAGATGCATTACTTTTAAACAACTGTGATTTTATTTTTACTGCCAGATCTCTGTCTCCTTTCTATAACATGATAGAGTAAAGCTAGATGTCTTTGTAAGCCATTTCCAATCCTAAAATTAAACTATTTTTTGTTTAATTGTTCTAAAAATCCTCGATCACTGTCCTATTGTACTGTTGTAGTGTCCTCCTTGCAGCAGCCTTCATAGAGGAGAGCAATTTTCAGTGGACAGACTAGGGATTTAATAGTCCTTTAACTTCAGTGTTTTAGTGAGCAGATATGGTCAGAATTCTGGATAGTCTTCTATGATTTTCATCTAGTTTTAAAGCCAATCTTTGAAGAAAATCTTCATTGTTCTATACTTTAAACAGACCATGGAAACTGTATACACATCTATCATCTATCTGTTTATGTATGTATTTATATTGTGTGTGTGCATGCATGCATGCGTGCATGCGTGCATATGTGTGTGTGTGTGTGTGTGTGTGTGTGTGTGTGTGTGTGTGTGTGTGTGTATGTGTGTGTTCACATTTACCACGACACATCTATGGAGGTCAGAAGACAACTTTTAGGTGTTAGGTGTCTCCTGACACTTTGTTTCAGGCAAGGTCTTCCATTTCTTTTACTCCGAGTGCTCTGATCAAAATGCTCTTGGAGATTCCAGGTAATTCTCCAGTTTCCACCTCCCATCTCATCATGGGAGTGCCAGGTTACAGCTGTGATCCACAGCATCAGGCTTGTTGTGTTTTCCAGGGATGGAACTCAGGCTATCAGGCTGTGTTGAAAGTACATTTACCAGCAGAGCCATCTCGACAGCTTTACAATCCTAATTTCAAATATGAATTCCCAGGACACCCCAGACCTGTCTTCCTTCGTCACGGTGGCACTCCACATGCACTTTAACATAGGGTTTATTGGGTTACCATACTGCATTATGGTTATTGATCTGGGCCTGTTTTCCAAGCTCCATAGAAGAACCCTTAAAGGAAGAAGTTGAGTCTTAAATGCCATTTAATCCTTGCACCTGGTACAGTTGCTTGGCAACCTAGCAAATATTCAATAGTATTTGTCATGGTGAGCTAAAATTATCTTGATTTTGTTTCTTACCAATCTATTACCATTTGTCTCCAAGTCAGTGCCAATCATAAGCAAAGCCTCAAAGAGCTATGATTTTGATAGTGCAAACATACTTTAGTTTGTGCATAGATATGGCAAAGAGGTGAAGTACATGGCCAAGGTTAATAATTATGTATATTAAAGTCAAAGTTAAAAAAGCCCCCTCTTGTAACTTACAAACCTCACAAATATACAAAAATATGATGTTGAAGCTGACTTAGAAATAGTTAACTCTGTGGTATCTTTTCATTTATATTTCTTTTGGCTTCCATTCTTTCTCTAGAAGATTCTCAGTGAGTGCGCAAAGCCAGTTCCAGCACTCTGTAACATCCAGTAGAGCTCAGAGGAACAAAGCATCACAGTAGAAACTGAAAATGTTCTGATGGGGGTGTTATACAACACATCGAGTAAGGTAAGTCTCCCTTGATTCCAGGCTCTACAAGTTATCTAAATTATCTGATGCCAAGTTTTTCTGGCTTGGAAGTTGGGGCTGATGAAACGGTAAGTTCTGAGACTTTTGTGATGATTAAATGTGCTAACATGTGTGAGTCACTAAGCACAGCATTTTGAATATGATTCTACTTCTGTGACATTAGCTTTAACTGAATACTCATTTTCAACCAGGTTTATCCCATGTTTCCTACCTATAAGAACCAAATAGAAGGGTCAAAAAAAAACCTATGTATGTTATTTTTAAATCATGAAAGCATTCTCAAATATTCTAGCTCTGGAAGTAAGACTATCCATATAATATTATCTGGAACAAAATTATTATTGGGAGTTGATTGGGAAATGTATGCAGCACTTGTGACTGTCCCCTGCTGGTCAATATGTAGCATTATGGGGCAGTCACAAGTGCACACTCCAGGATGAAGAGAGTCATCTGCATCATGGCCTTCTCGTGTCTCTTCCTTCGTGAACATAAGGAGAACTGTTACCAACATCGGCCCTGACATCCACACACGACATAACACTAGTGATAAGCTCTCATGTTTGGGTTTTTTATTATTATTATTGTTTTGCTGATCCTTTAGAATTTAGGATTACTCCTCTTCCTCTCCCTCCTCCACTTCTATTTCTTTGACTTTTTCTCCTTTGCTCCATCTGAGCCACACACTTTTGTAAAAGGCAGAAAGATGCTGGATTATAAACCTTCATGCATGAGTAATAGTCGTGCATTATAGGGTAGTTAGAACAAATGCATCAGGCATTTTTAAAATATTCATTCATGCATGCATTCATGCATTCATTTGTCTGTCTTACTAATTCACAAGTTGATTATGTTTGCTATCAGGTAGCACGTAATAAACAAACAAACACCCACAGGCCTTGGTCTTTGCTTTCCAGTTGCCTAGAGCCTATTGAGGTCTTACACTGGGCTTTCTAGAAGGGAGCAGACCATGCAGAGGAAGTCCCAGTTCCTTTTAGGGTGAGTCCAGGGGACTTCTCAGAGGAAGCAGAGGTAGAGTGGGAGAATGGTCAGTTATCACCCAAATTAATGAGACCTTTTGCATTTCTCACAAGTCTGCTAACATTGATCTTGCAGGGCAGAGAGAAAGCCATGTGAATGATGGACTGCTTGCTTGTGAAGTGTGATGTAGAGAGATCAGAATGCTGTATTAGATGAGGCCATCTTGTCTCCCTCTTCCCGGTGGAAGGATGACAAGGGACTGCCATGCTGCATCTAGCTTGTAGCGTATGTGACATGAGCACAAGAAAGAGTAAAAGCTAAAGAGAAGGCTCTCCGGAAGCACTCCCAAAACCCCAAAATATCTTATCTACATCATTGGTTCAGCGGGTTTAGCCTTTTGTGTGTGGAGTGACCTAGAGAAGAAGTACTGTTGACAACATCACATAGCAAACATAATCTTTAAAAAATCACCTTTTGAGGCTGGAAATGAACCTCAGTTCGTTGAATGTTTACCTACCATGTGAGAAGCCCTGGGTTTCACCATCAGAGCTGCGTAAACTGGGTGTGGTGGCAAAGGTCTATAATCCCACCACTTAGGAGGCAAAGGCAGGTAGATGAGAAATATAGGATTACTCTTGGCTACATAGCAACTCGGATATGATATACGATACTCACAATATCTACACACGTGTATGTTTGAGTGTGTGTTCCCCTTCTCGGAGCTGAAAGTTGTTCCTTTTGTTGTCTTGGGAATGCAAGAAAGGAGGAACAGTGTGCTTTGGAAAGCACTGTTTGGGAAGCACTGCATTGCTGGCTTAGTACACAGGCTGAAGGAGAGGGCATTGGAAAGTAAGTGGGAAGTCAACTGACCTAATTATTCATTTGCAGCCATGCAGTAAAGAATGAATGTTATTGCATTTATGCTCATCAAGCAGTAATTGTTTCAAGTTGACAAATGATAAAGTTCCAACCACTCTGAATACTTGGTATCTTACAAAAACAAAACAAAGCAAACAAAAAATATCCTGGAGTTGCTACTCTGCTAGAGAGTTCCTGGAAAATGGCTTTACCCTCGCTTGCCTTCCCGTCTCAAATTAACAGGAAAACCAAATAAGCTTCAACTTGCTGAATTAGTCTCCCCTATAAAGATAAACTTGAGTGCATCTGACATCCATTGGATTTCAGAAGCATCTCTATCTGGGAAAGAAAACTTTCTAATTTATTTACCATGTTAGCCACAATCTCTAGGTTTCTTTGCACACTAGACATTTTTCCTTGGTTAAATTACATTAATGCCGATTAACAAGAAATGATTTGTATCTCCTCTGGTCTTCCTTCCCCCTCTTTTTGTTATCCTTTTGTGGTACAAGGGAAAAAAAAACCCTTGTTTTGAAGTAAAATCAATTGGAAATGCCTGGCTGAGAGTTTAATTAGAGGCTCAGAGGAGGGTAGTTCTGGAGATGAGTCACACTAAGCTGCAACCGTCTGAATAGTGATAGCCTGTGCAAGGCTAAATCTGCCCCCATGTGGGTATACTGGCCAGAGGAGTGGGATTCCACAGGCTGTAGACCACCTTAGTCCTTCCTGCTAGTCATTGCACTGGTGCAAGCTGTAACCTTCAGATGTGTTTGTATGCAAGGCCAGCACCAGGACTCATTACAAACAGAAGCACCGCAGCCTCTTTAGAAATATAACTATATTCAAGATTTGATTGACAGCCTATAGAGAGGTTCGGCTTCTAGATGTTTCAAGGATTAAGATGATGTTTCTGGTCCTGGTGATGTTTGGAACAACTCCAATAGGCACCATTGTACACCATGCAAACTATGTCGTAGATGTTTGTTCCATCACTGAAAAATGTGGATGGGATGCAAGTGAAAAGTCTATGTGCTTTCTTGCTTCCTAAAACAAAAGAAGCAATAAATACCCATGGAAATGCACACACACACACACACACACACACACACACACACACACACACACACACACATCCCCCAATGTTTGTTAGCCAGCATCTTCAGCTGCGCCCCACCAACTCCCTGACATCTTCTGAATATGACGTCTAATTTGGTTGACTGGAGAGACTTGAAGCCACAAGTTCAGTTTCTACCTTTAAAGTAACTGGAGTTAGAGACGTATGAGGCTGAAGATGAAGCGTGGTGAGTGCCTGCCTAGCATGTGGTGAGGGCCTGCGTAGATTTCCAGCACTAAAAATAAAAACAAGAAAGAAAAGAAAATGGAAAGTGAGGAGAAAACAGGCAAGCAAGGCTTAAGTGGAACATACATTCAGTTATTCATATCACTTACATAGGGTATATTTTAATGAGAAGAGACAGCTGAAAATAATGCAAGACTACACCTTGCTATGTTAAAGAGACAGAGGGACCGTCAAGACTCCTGTGCTTGTAACACATACATAAAGAAAGACACTCAGTAGGAAGCTTGGGATGTGTAGAGCAGCATTTTCCAAACAGGTTTCCAAAAAGGCTTGATCTATTATTATTGGATGGTTAAACTCAATGCAACCCAAATCTGTGTTGCAGATGCCCCCTGCTGGCCACAAGAGACATGAGCTACAGCGGCTGTAGAAAGAACCCTGGAGCTGGCTAAGAAAACCCTATACAGGCTGCTTTCCACAAAGGTGAAAAACTATATGCTTCTTGCTCCTAAAAAAGCAATAAATACCCATGGAAATTCATGAACGAACACACACACACACACACACACACAGAGTTCTTCTGAACATGACTGCTTTAAATCATGATTGACCTTCAAGGCTTTGGATACAGCAGGGCTGAGCCATTTGTATGGAGAAAGACTATCACTCTGGCACCTACTACTTCCATCTGGCTAAAACGAAACCACCCATTCCTTTTGTTTCAGCCATCTAATGCAGTGTGGTACATTAAAATACATACCTAACTTCTTACCTGATTCTCATAATTTATATTTGGTACCTTAGACAAATGACCCTAGAGTTAGTTTGCATAAAATAACCCTCAGTGATGGAAGTGGTAGAAAGGTAAAGAAAGACAGCAAGAAATATTCAGTGCCATTGCTGTTACGGAACTCAGATGTGGCTCCAGCAATGACAGCTGCTTCCCAAGGCTCACGTGATTAACTACATTATACAACATTCTCAGCTATAAGATGGTTGAAAAACTGGAATTGACAATGCCAGCTGTCAAATATGGCATATTTATAGAAAACGCATTTATCTCTTACGTCCTTCAAGCTCTGGTTATGTTCCACCATTTCCCGTCAGACTTAACAACAACTATTGCCATTTTTGTGTGTGCCCAAACTGTTCTCACTCAGATGCTCTCAACGGCAAATGCAACAAAGCAGTAGGGAGGGGCTCAATAGATATATCACTCACTTTGCAAGCATGAAGAATACAAAAACTAGGTTTTAAAAACTGTCAGGAACTCCGGCATTGACTTACCATCCCAATTTGGGACAGCGGGAGACAAATAGTTTCTTGAGTACTCACTGGCCAGCCAGACTAGCCTACTTTATGAATTACAGGCCAGGGAGAGGACTCTATGTCAAAAAATAAAATAAAACCCCTGAGGGATGGCAGCCTAGGTTGTCCTCTGGCCTCTATACAAATGTACACACACACACACACACACACACACACACACACACACACACACGTGCACGCATAATCAATAGGACACTTGTTCAAATAAGCTAACTTTTTCATAAGACTAAGGCCAAATGCAGTTTCTTCTCACTTGTTTACTTAACAGACTAGCAAGCAGTATCTTTGCTGTGTGCCTGTCCCAGGCCACACACTACTACTTGTTTGGAAGTCTCCTGTGGAGTAAAAGGCAAAACCAAAAGAGTTAGAAACAACGGAACCTATTAGCCCATTACATTTTTAGCTGCCTCCAATTGCTACAATGTGAGATGGGTGCAGGTCACTGGGTATTTGCTCTAGTCAGATATTCACTTCTCTGTGGTGATCTGCAAGCTTGTTTAGAAAATTCAGCTCCTGTGGGGCCACCAATAACTGTCCCTGCTGATCTGATCAAGATCCATGTTTGGTACAAATAACAGTCTCTCTCTAGTCACAAGAGTGAGGCTCAGATTTGGACTGGGGAGCCTATTGTAGTGCCCACTGTCCATGTTAAAGTGAATTTGTAAAGGTGCAACTGATGTTCACTCCTAGAGATGGCACCTGTGGCTTGATCCCTGCTTAGCCCCAGATCCAGTCACTGTCTCTGAGGTTTTGGTCGTCTAATATCAACCACAAGGGCATAAGAATCTCAACTCTCTGATCCTATTGTGGGTCAACGAATCTTTCATACAAGGCACAAGCAGAACACAAACAACTGGGACTTTGTTGATATTATGGAATAAATTATATAAACAGTTTACATCAGCTTATTAAGTGTTTGCTCAAAAAGAATGTGTTCAGTTTGGTTTCGTTGTAGGTACAGTGATCTTGCTTTCATACACCGATCACGAAGCCATTGAGAAACAGCCACCCATAACTAACCATTAACATAAATGGTTACCTACTGAAAATAACCTAGAATTGGTCTTGAATAGATCATCTTATTCTCCAGTAGCCACTTACGATCTGAGTGAACTTACAAAAGCTGGGCCTTAACAACATGATCTGTAAAATGAGGATAAAATAGGAAATGGGATAAGAAGTTTCTATGAGGAGTGCAAGTGACAATGATAGTAAAGGCTGGTCCAGGCCTGGCACATAAGCAGGATGCTGTATATGTCAGCTACTGTTATTATCACCATGGCAACCACGGCCATCACCCATCTACACCATCACCATTTGTACTTATCTAACATCTGTACCACCCGGTGCTAGTTCTAGCTCCTAACATTCCTTTGACTTGGGGACTTGTGAGCCTGAGCTTTTGAAAAAGTGGGACATGATGGAGGGCTGTATTCTGCTTCAGTAACTCTTCTCCATAAATCATTGAGGAGACACTACAGCTTCTTCCTGATAATATTGAAAAAATGTTTGAGATACAGAAAGAAACAGAAAAGTCGAGGGAGAGGAGGGAGGGGGAAGTAGGGGGTAAGGAAGGAAGAAAGGAAGGGAGGAAGGGGAGAAAGAGACTCCCCTGGACAAAGGGCCACAATACTGCCATTGAAGGCTCTAGAACGGGTTGTTTCCCCACTTACAATAGCTGCACATCTCTGCCCATTGTCACACACACACACCAGGGCAAAGCGGGCACTGCAGAGGGGGAGGATGGATACGGTGGTGTCCATAGTGACTCTGAACACAAAGCAGCTGAGCTTGCAGCTCAACCTAAGATGGATACCTACACCCAAGCAGCAGCCCTGGATCAACTGCCAGAGACTCTGGAGCTCCAAACAAGAAACTTAAAAATAACAGTGTCCATTTAAACTGATTCAAAAAGCCAGCTTTTTATAAGTAGAAAAATGCTCCTGCAAAGGAGAGAGAGGTTGTTCAAATTCAAACAGGAGGCGTTTAGGAGGATTTATGAACCATAACTGTGGTGAAACCATGGAAATAATGAACAATAAATATGGAGAAGTTTCCATTACCAAGGAAAGCCATCAAGGCAAGAGTAGCAACCAGCTGCTGTGGATAGCTATGTCATGTGACCACCTGGCTCCATCTCAGTGACATCGTAAGATACTTTCCAGATCTCCAGTCCGTTTCACACTCACAAATAATACACGGACCCGTTTAATCTCGTCCCTGCACTGGCAGGAAAGACCTGTCTGCCTTTGACTCATGAGAATCCCATCTCAGATTACAGGACTGAAAGCAGCCATCTGCATACATGCTGAAAGGGCTGTTCCTTGAGAGACACCAAGTAGAGCACTGAGTGCCTGTCCAGAAAACTCAAACCCCCAAAAACTCCTTTTCCTTAAAGGAGACAACGGGATAGCATAGTGACGGAGGGCAGGCATGGCTGCCTCAGACGCCTCAGCTCACTCTGCCACACACATGATTTTGGGTACTTTCTGAACCCTGTTTGCTTGTTTTCTCATCTCCAACAAGAATGATGGCACCTACCTTCCAACTATCTTTTGTGATGGTGAAATGGGTTACTGTATGTGAGGCGTTTCTCTCGGTGCCTGGCACATTTACCATGACACACATATATACACATATAATTTCTAATGTTACTACAGGAGGTCCTATGCTAAGGAAGGAACATATCTAGTATAGTCACAGAACAAAACTATTTGGGCAGTAAAGGGAAACACATCATGTCTTGTGACAGCGTGCCTTTGACTAAACCCCTCCCGCCAAGCTAGTCAATTTGCTAGGTGATCTTGAGTGAGACTTGAGTTCTCTGTTCTAGTCCAGAGAGGAGGGAAGGGCAGGGAGGAAGAAAGGAAACAGGTGATAAGACTCCTGGTATCACTCTAGCTAATATAGTAAGATTTTACAGATGTAACATATGACATCATTGGCACACAAATGAGAAAAGCAAGGAACCAAGATCTCCATGGCCTGTGAGTGGTACCACCATTCACCATACCGTCCACACCTTCCCAATACCTCATTCCATCTGTAAGTACAACCATCTCATTGTCATAACCTGTACCCCCTGATCCTTATGGACCGTCTTCCTCGTTCCCACAGCTGACTGGTCACAGGATGCTCCTTTTTCCAGAAAATTCTTTCAATGTGTCCTTCCTTCTCCACATTTAAATTTCCCAATTCTGAAGAACTGAACTGCTGTGCCATCTGCCTCACTAGCCTTATCCTCCCCTCCCATGCCCTGCTTGGTCTACCCCAAACTCAAAACGTCACTTTCTGGCTTTCCATGTCTCTCTTGTTAGCAATCTTGTTTCCCATTATCCTCGGCAGTTTCTTGCACGCCAAGTACCTCCTTGATAGTTTGCACGCACTGCCCCTTGTCTCTCCTCTACCACACACCAGGTTAAAACCCTTCTGATTTCATTCGTTTCCCCTAAAGTCTGCTACCACATCAGCCTATCCATTTGCTTTAGCTGTTGGGATGGAGTGGGAAAATGAAATCAGAGTTGCAGCAAAATGATGGTGGCGATCCGTGGTGAGGATGACCAACTCTCCCACTCAGGTGCCCACAGTAGCATTTGGATGCAGAGTGAATGTTTAATAAGCATGGGTGTTATTATTACTACTGCTGTCCCTATCATAGCATTGTGTATGCAGGATCCATACATTCATTCTCTAGTAATCTACATGTCAGACTTCAGCAGAGCAATGGCTGCCTGTCATGGGCTGTGTGGGTTGATAGACATGCATTGAACAGGGAGATGGAATGTGATCAGTCAATCTGTGCTTGATTGACATGAAGGTAAGCTTCTTTCAGATAGATAGTCTCTATCTCATAACAAGGGCAATCCTGCAAGTATGAAGGATGAGCTGGCATTGTCTGCATTGAGGCTGCTTTTTCTAAGGCCTCTGTAGCTGCCCAGCACAATGCAGCCATGCTGTGATATCTCTCCCCTTGGGATGCTGCTTTACTTTGTATTTTTACAATGGTATTGTTTTTCCCAAGCTCTGTCCACTCCTTTCTTAAGGATTCTCATGGAAACTGGGACATTTCCCAAGATTTTATGGCCTGTCTCTGACATAATTATCACTCAGGGTAAGTTATTGGGGGTAATGAAGAGACAGTGTAGGGATGAGACGGACAGGCCAGAAACAGCTCATTTCCCCTTGACCTTCAATTCCCATCTTATTCAAAATAGCGCTGGCAGGAATGCCGGACTTTTGGTAATTCAGTTTGGAAGCTAGATAATGAATAGTGGGAAATGGTCCTCCAGTTGAGGAAGACAGATATTTGTGGAAATTTTGAGTTCCAAAGGTGGAAGGGTCAGCAAAGTTCCCACGAGAGCTTCTATGGACAGCGGTGGTACCCACAACAGCCAAGCATTCTTTTATGTTCAATTACAGAGAAACTCTGCAGGCTAAGCACTTGTTACTGCATGTGGCTCCTACTTTAAACGTCTTTAGCATATCCCAGAGAAAAGGTGAAAGAATAAATAAAGGGTATTAAAGAAGGAGAAAAAGAAAGAGAAGAAAGGGAGAATACACCAAGATTAAGATCTTACCAAACACCAATAGGTGGTCTATCACTTCTCTAACTCAGTGTCTTCTCTCATGATGCTTTAGTACCTTGAGAAATCAGAGGTCTTATTCAGTGTTTCTCTTTGCCAAAAGATTAAAAAAAATGGTTTGTTGAGAAAATAATGGCACAGCAATGAGGACAAGAGAACTGTCTGTATTGCTAGAATTAGATTTC